AGTAAATATTAGTAAAAGTCTCTTCTGCTCCGCAAGGCTGCTTTTATTTGTACAGTAAAAGAAGGGGGTCTGACGGCCAAAACATATTATTTTACTAACTTATTAATTTTAAGTTAAATTGTGCTTTGTTGGTATAATGTCTGCTAGAATCTTAAGTATTTTTACATTTTGTAATTGATTTTTTTTCTTTGAAAAGCACGACAAAGCAGTAAAATGCGCATTTTGCCATTTAATGTATTCATATGTGACCCTGGAGCACAAAAGCAGTCTTAAGTCGCTGGGGTATATTTGTAGCAATAGCCAAAAATACATAGTATGGGTCAAAATTATAGATTTTTCTTTTATGCCAAAAATCATTAGGATGTTAAGTAAAGATCATGTTCCATGAAGATCTTTTGTAAATGTCCTACCGTAAATATATCAAAACTTAATTTTTGATTAGTAATATGCATTGCTAAGAACTTCATTTGGACAACTTTAAAGATGATTTTCTCAGTATTTAGATTTTTTTGCACCCTCAGATTCCAGATTCTCAAATAGTTGTATCTCGGCCAAATATTGTCCTATCCTAACAAACCATACATCAATGGAAAGCTTATTTATTCAGCTTTCAGATTTTGAAAAATTGACACTTAAGACTGGTTTTGTGGTCCAGCGTCACAATTGTGAAAAAATCTTTTGCAAAATACATGGGAGAAAAAACCTCGAAAAACCATGTTCGGCCTTCGACCCAATGTTTCATTTTGTTCGGCTTCGGCCAAGAATTTGTTCCGGTGCATCCCTAGTTCTCCTTACAGCTTTAATAAACGATTCCCATCAGATTCCTAGGAGTGTGAATAGAAGTGACTGTGAGACTCTGTCCAACGGTCTCCTGTGTGTCTGTGTTCAGGCGTGTGAGAGTCCCTTCTCCTCCCCGTCCACCTTCCCCAGGAACCCTCTGCTCCGCCAGCAGGCATCCGACACGCACCCCTCGGACTCGGTAAGATGATCGCTGGAGCCCCGTAGCGCTCGGCAGTAGGGATGCAACGATTATAGATTTTCTTGGTACGATTATTGTCTGAGGAATAATCACGATTTCACGATTTTGACGTTTATTATGCATTTATTCATTTCACAAAATTATTAATGTATAAAATCACATGGACACACTTTAGATAATAAAGTGTTATTTATTGCTGCCTTTAGAAACAGAAATATCACAGTAAACAATAATACTGCACAAAATAATAATAATAATAAAGACAAACAAATGTCTATCTCCAATTGGAATTAAAAAGGTGACCTCTGCTCTGTAAACATCCATGTCACTATTTCCCTTTTGAAAATAGATCACAAAAGTATTTAGTGTTTTCAGTTTGTACATTTTTCTTTTGGACCGGAGGCAGAAAACTGGAAACATGGTGAAAAAAAAAAATTCTTGTTGGTTTTTGACTTATGCATAATACTATAAAAAGGATAATAGATAACAATGTTACTAAGTATTATTAATATAGGACTATTAAATTTATGTATCCCACAGTGGAAACTATTAATAATGAGGGGAATAAACTGAACTATCATTGTAATCAACTGTCATCCATATGTATTCATTTTGATAATTTTATAATAATTCATATAATTTTATGTGGCCTGAGAAAATCATGTCTATATTTGGTTTGTGAGATCGGAGATCGCGCTGCGCACACATACAAACATTCAGGAGGACACAAACTTGTTGTGAACCCTGCCCCGTAACCTTTATTAATAAAATAGCTTAGATACTGAATTGCTACATATTCATCAGCAAGGAGAGGGTAAAATCACTGTTTAAGTAACTAAACTCACATGTTTGTAGAGAGACGCGCTGACGCAGGTTCAATTGCTACATATTCATCATCAAGGAGAGGGTAAAATCACTGTTTAAGTAGCTAAACTCACGTTTGTAGAGAGACGCGCTGACACAGGTTCACACACACACACACTTCTCTCCCTCTCTCTCGATCGAATAATTAATTCAAGTAGCTAAATGTTATAATTAATTAATTCAAATAAATGTGATCTTACCACACTATTTGATCTGTCTGATCTGAAGTGGGCAGAATACTGAGCTAACGAACCGTAGCTTCGCGTCAGTCTTGCCTTCAAGTTGTGCATTAAAATAGTTTAAAGCCGTGTATTCGCTATTTAGCAGCAGTTTTTACGGCAATATTTAAATGACACCCTGGTCATTCTTGGTGTACCCAAAATGGTCCCACACTATCTACTTCAGTCATTTCTCTGGTGGAAATAAAGGACCGCTCTTTGGTTCCTCTGTCATAGTTAATCTAGTGTGTGTAGTAGCTAGCCTCCGTGTCTCTGATAAGCACAGCATTTTAAGCTGGTGCACCGCTAGTGTAACTTTGTTTTCGTTTTGTGCAAGTTGCAACTGTTCCGTTCTGTGCAACAGAAACACTCGGTGTAGCGGATGCTTTACGATTAATTAACCGTGACATTTTAAAGCGCGGTTAATTGTGAAACCGGTTAATCGCTGCATCCCTACTCGGCAGTGCTCTGCGTTCAGCCTGCAGTCTGAGTGTCTTACATTTACATTTTATATTTAGTCATTTAGCAGATGCTTTTATCCAAAGCGACTTACGGTCTTGTGTCCCTTCAGGGAGGGAAGACGCAGATCATTGGACCAGAGGAAGAAGAGGAGGATGATGGGTATTCGATCAATGAGGTGAGAGAGTTTTCATTAAATGCATCGCTTATCGCATTTCTCGCCGGATATAGCAGAGTCTCCCAAAGTTGATGAAAAGCTAGTAATTAATTAAATGTGAAAATTAAAATAAATAATGGATTTAAAATAGAAACATTCAAATAAAAATACAGTTTACCTGCATGTCATTTGACCCCCATCCACCATCAAAAGCATGTAAATGTGTTGTTAAATTATTAAAATATTTGTATAATATATAAATTAAATAATACATTTATATTTTAATAATTGATATATTTTAGTGTAATCCAGTTGTTTTCTCTGAAATAAATATTTTAAATTTTTATTTTGCGTTTTTATTTCATTTTTGAGTAAAAATGTGTTAAATATCTTGGCGAGTGCAGTTGAGTGACATTTACCTGTTGAAATCGTCTCTTCATAACCAATACCCTTTAGATTTCTTGCTATTATTTTATTGGACAGAGATTTGGATATGCACAATTATGCAAAGCGTAGTCATCAGAGTTTTTAATTTTCATTTTCATATGCATCTTAAATGCATGTATTAAAGTATATCTGGGCTGAATTTGGAATAGCATGCTACTCTTACTATTTCTGCCATATCTTTATATCACAGACACAGTAGTATGCTAGTATGCTGTTCCTAATTCTGTGTTTAAATCCATGTGTTAAAGTTGATTTGGTCGACTTTCGGGAGTACACTAGCATATAGAGCTCAAAGCTAGTTATAAAAAAAAAAGTAAAACTCTTTTGGCAGATTGTCAGTGTTAAAAACATTATGGTTGATATTGCTTAGGCTTCTTTTGTTCACTGTTGTTGTTAATTAAAACTAAAAATTAAAATAAGACAAAAATAAAATGTAAATAATAGAATTGGAAATATTTTATTTATATATTAAATATATACATGCATTTTTTTTAAATGAGAATGGGAAATGATGCTTTAGCAACTAGCTACATTAAAATAAGTTCAGAATTAATAAAATAAAATAAAATAAAGCTAAATAGGAATATTTAAAATTTCCTAGAACTAACAAAAAAATGACAAAATTACTAAAATGAAAATGAAGACATAAAAATAAAAGTTAGTCCTCAATATTGTAATTGTATAGAAATTATACTAAAATAACGCTGCTTTTCTTACACTGGACTTGTAAGTCACGTGATGTGCAGTATGTTAGTATATTGTTTAGGGATGGGCATTTTTCAAAAATATTGTATTCAGATATTTGGGCTCATAAAAGACGGATATTCGAATATTTGTTTATTTAAATGACGTTTAACGAGAAAGATGTTATTTTTTAATAATCAAGTGTTTGTCACCATTTCTGAACAAGCTTATGATTAGGCATCATAGACAACAATGTTATGTTCCACAGCGCCACCCAGTGCATTTAGTTATAACTGACTTTTAGTTTGCGTGCTCAGGATTTTTCATGGATTCCTTGCATTTACTGGCAGCAAAGCAACACGTAGTAAAATTTGAATAGTGTTTTAATAAGAAACAAAGTCTCATCTTTCAAATGATGTCCATTTTTTTCAGGAAATTCAAACAATAAATGCGGTTTTGGTGCTCTTTGATGTGGCGACAGATCTAAACGCCTCAGTTCGCGATCATCCCTTTCTCTTTACTACTAGTTATAACACAAAATAAACATGAATGAACATCTGCTGCCTCCTGTAATCGCACAGTCAGCGTTTCAACCGCGGGAAGACGGCAATAAAACAGCTTGTAAACAAAACGTCACATAGCATTTCATTTCCCTCAGTCATCATCAGTGTCCACAGCTCTTTATAAATGTCTAGAGAAGAGTATTTCATACTCTTATATTATACCAAATATTAGATTTTATAATCATTATATTTTGCTTTACCTGTTAGTGATGTCTTGATTATTTGAAGTTGAGTGTTGATTATTATATTTAAAAATAAATAGTAATTAAATTTAAGTTCGGTCTCTGGTGTTAATTGTAACCTTGTAGTAATGTAAAAGGGCTCACTGTAAGCCGAGGCAGATGTTTATCTCTAAGAAAAGTTTAATTATAATTACATTTATTTAAAGCAAGAGCAATTTGTTCAGTACACCAGTTTAATTCTTTCCCCGCCACTGACGAGTTATCTCGTCTTTTACAAGACAACGCTTCCCCGCCAAAGACGAGTTTTTACGGCTTTCCGTGTTTTCACTGTTATACACTCGGGGGCGCTATTACACATCTTCTGAACGAGTACAAAACCTCCCGAACAAAAACACCCGTGAACAGGATGGAGAAACTAGCGATCTCTTATGCAAACAGATGCATATGAAAAATCATCAGCAATAGACAGCATATAAATGAAAACGGTATATGAAAATGGTATATGTCTGTGCAAGGTTTGGAGGTGTTGATGGAAGCGATTTACTGGATTTATGCTTTGATAATCGTACTGAATATTATCGAGATGTAGTTTTTGATAAAAATGTGATGTTCTCACCTCAAAATTATGCATTTTTTATGAAACCTACCTATATCCAAGTGTTGATAAAAAAAGAATGCTTTAAGCTAGAATAAAACATATTTTTTTGTTTAAAAGTAGAGGCTCTGATTCAAATATTCATACAGCAAAATATACTGGAGGCCATCAAATTTTTGTAAAAATCATCAAAATCGGTGGCAGGCAACTTTTTTCAAAAATGCTGGCGGGGAAAGGGTAAATATAAAAAAAGCAATTTGTTTCCCCTACTGTACCGAACCGTGATGTCAAAACCGAGGTACTGAACTGTCATATTTGTGTATCGTAACACCCCTAATATGAAATATTAAATGCCAACTCGGTGAGCATCAGTGGCTGCATGAGCACTAATGTAACTCTTGTGTCGATGCAGTTGTTTTATCTGTCTGTGGAGGCGTATCTGGGCTCGAGCCCGAAAGACGCCCGTTCGCTCGCCCCTCAGATCTGCTCGCACTTCCTGGACCAAGATGCCGTGAGTGTCTGATCTACACCCACAAACCACCAGCGCTGCTTTTCTCAGCGAGCTTTCTGTGTGACTGTCCATTTGTGATTCTTTTCAGCCTGTGAAGATTAAAGTCCGGGAGGAGTTTCTGACAGATATAGGTGAGGTCTCTTGAGCACGACGCCTGCTGGCAGCGTGACGGGGCTGTGGCTAACCGTGCGTTTGTTGTGTTCTCGTGTAGAGAGTCGTCTGCACGCGCAGGAGGACATCCGAGGGCCGCTGTCTGAGCTCCAGCAGCAGGTGCTTCCAGATATTCAAGAGCAGCTTCAAGACTACAGGTGCGCCTCCAGCTTTACTTTAATATGTATACTGGAGCAGTTTTATCTAATACTGCTCAGTACTGCCGCTGGAGCCCTTTCTTGTGGTTACGAAAGGTTGTGTTTTGCTCTTGATGGGATGTTTTCTGTGATGCACGGCAGGAGCAAGCAGACGATGGGTCTGGGCTCTCTGTTCGGAGAGAGCGACCTGCAGCAGTTAGACGGAGACCCGGTGAAAGAGCGGCAGGTGGTGGACAAACAGGTGCTGGCGCTCTGGGACGTCCTGTGAGTGTTCAGTTACTCTTGAACATGACTTTAACATGGCTTGAGCTCAACACTGACTCGGTTTGCTTCGCTAATGCATCAGTGCACGTGATTCTGAAGATAAAGGTTGTTGTCTTCATGATATTTCATGAAAAATCTGCTTCTGATAACTTTTCTTTTGGAATCATCAATAATAGCATTGTAATATTTCTGTTGTGCTGTATTATTATTCTTATGAATCCGTTGTTATTATTATATACTAATATCAATAGTACTATTACTATATTAATACATTTATTAATTGGTTTAATTTCTATAACTTGAATAATACGTTTTAATTAATACATTTCTTTAATGGTATTATAATGTTTGGTATTATTTTCTTTATTTTATAATTATTATTATTATGTGATCAAATTTATAGTACAGCTATGCTATAGTAGTACAATAATAATAATAGTAATGGTAATTATTATTATTATTATTAAATAAAAAAAAAATATATATATATATATATATTATGCATTGTAGTAATGCATTTTTATTGGGCTACATTATATAACTTAATAATAAATAAATGTATTACTATTGTAATGATACTGTTGTACTAAAAATGAGTATTTATTGTTATTATTATTAATATAATCATTTTGTGCAATAAAATATTACAGTATAATAGTATTATTACAATAGTAATACATATTGTTATTGGTCTATTTTTTATAATTTAATAAAAATAATTATAGTTATGATTATTTCATAGTACAAAAGCATTACAATAGTAATACAGTTGTTTATTGTTTTAATTTTTATAATTTAATAACTACACTACTACTGTTACTTTCATATACTAATATACATTTTATTATTATTGTTTAATAATTTTGAATGGGTTTCATAAAAACAATTGTGTGACTGTGGCCTGAGACAACTGAAGCAGAAAGAGATTTTGTTAAAAGAAAAGAAAAATAAAACACAACTCTATATCTTTTCCCCCCTTGATCCTCGTGCTAAAATTAGCTCATTTTAAATAATATTTTAAATATTTCAAATGATATTTTAAAACATTTCGTGCCAGGGAAAGAAAAGAGCAAAGGGACACATTTTTAACCCCTGATGAGTTTGTGTCTCTGGTTAATATGCTCTAAAGTCAATGGGAGAGATATGCTATAAAACCAGCAGCACAGATTATAAAGCGTTTCCACGGCGACCGGTCAGATGACACGGGAATAAACCCGCGAGCTTGCGTGAGTTACAAAGGTCCCGCGTCTGTGACACGCCTCGACACAGAGCTGCTCACATGACCCGCAGACAGGTCACATGACCGCTGTACACACAGGACCCTCGCAGATCACGCCAGACCGCTGTGAGCTTAAAACCCGAGGTGTGTGTCCCACTTCAGGTGCGTATTTGTGTAAATAGTCAAGCTAACACCAGCTTTCTTTCCTTACAGCTCAAAACACGAGGAGGACAGAAGGTATGAGCTTCAATCCTGTGGCTAGCAGTGATTTATGTGCTAAGAAGCATGAAATCAGTATATTAAATGACAATATTGACCGTTGTTCTGCTGTCAGTTCTCCGCTAGCGTCTGCGGTTCATCTGTATCTCAGACACTCGGGCATTAAACTCAGAGACTCCAAAGTGTTTCCCGGCTTGATGTCCGAGAAGGAAAAGTGGCTTCCGTTCTTTCCTAAAGCTAAAAAGGTAAATGTATGATGTACTGAAAGATGTACTGTATTTATACTAGCTCTAGTTCTTACTGGATCCTCATAATGCGCTTCAAATGTTCATACGCAGCTGAGCAGCGCCAGACGAGAGAAGGACGGAGACGACAAGAAACGAAATCCCATCCTGAAGTACATCGGCAAACCCAGAAGCACGTCCCAGTCCAGTAAACACACACACTCTCTCTGTCTCCCACACACACACACTCCCACACACTCGCACACTCACTCTCACACACACACACACTCGCACACTCACTCTCACACACACACACACTCGCACACTCACTCTCACACACACACACACGCACTCACACTCTCACACGCACACACACTAACACACACGTACACGCACGCACTCACACTCACTCACTCACACTCACTCTCACACACACACACTCAATCACTCAATCACTCACTCACTCACACACTCCCTCACTCACTCACACACACAGGCACACACTCACTCACACACACACACACACACACACACACTTCCCCACTCACAAACGCAC